AAGCAACCTTCTGTTGCCAATAATCTAGAATTGCATGTGGCATTATCCTAAAGTCTACTGCTCACCCTTGACGATATACAAACACTGAGTAGAATTCTGTTCTTTAATGCAGTTTACGGCAGTAATGTTTCCTCAATCTAACCTTGTGTGTAGTGCTCTCTCCACAAGATTCGCACTGTTCTCTGACGATTTAAAGTTTCATTGCCCCAACTAGATAAACTCTAGGCATAAATTACGAGCAGAATCTATTGGGAATGTCCTGGAATAACGTGTGATGTTATTTGTGCGTTATGGTCTTCAGAAACATGGCCGTTGTTCATGATGATGCTTTGCTAGAAGCCGTAATCGAAACAACCACAAGCCTTCTCCGGAGAATGTCGAATTGCAAGACCTGCTGAACTATAAACAGGGTATTTTGTTCTGAGGAAGGTCGCAGAATGACGGCCGAAAAGTCGGCACGAGAGTCAAGATGGTCCTATTTTCGGCGAACCATATATTTTCGAACATTGAAAAAAATTTCGGAATTGTAAATTCGAATTTTAGGCGCTTCGTTTCAGGAGTTGCCAGTTCTATAAATAGCAAGTAAACACAAAGGTTTCAAAACTCGTCGAGTTCACCTCATTGTTGTTGGTGATAATGATTGTATGATGTAGATTATATTTTTATGAAAGTAGATAGATTGAGGGAAGGTAAAAAAGTTTAGCTTATAATTAACAAACACACTCTGCTTTAAGAAGTTTTCAACGAATATTGTATTAAAAAATTGGAAAGCTCAGTTCAAATGTAATCAAATTTGGCTTGTGTGAAATTATTCTTGCTTTTTTTGTATTATGTTCTCTTAGTACATTTAAATTTATTCATGTTCGTTTCATTTTAAAGTAAGGAATGACTTCTCTTCCTGACAATGGAATTAATTGCAGATAAGCACGAGAGGCGATTAGTTTAAATTAGACTTTTTCAGGTTGTAACTGAGATTTTAGTATCGCATAAATTACAGTATTTTAATATTATGTAACTATTTTGAAACACGACAAAATGTGTTCGATTGTAGCACATTTGTTTTTAAATGACATCACTTCCGGGCTCGCGTAGTTTCAGTTGCATGACATGAAATTTGCAATGTGTCAATGTGCAAAGGTATATGCACACAATATTAGTTGAGCATGGTAAACAAAGCAAGAATCTGGTTACTTCGAAAGAAACTGACTGAGATGAAACTGGCAATTTGGATTGCTAGTTTGGACAAAAGACAGAATATATTAACTGCTGAAAGATTGCATTCCTTTAGGTTGAGAAATTCCACCTTGCATAATATTAACACTACATAGTGGTATTTAGGAATTATTAATTATTAAATGATCTCTATCGATTTTGAGCTACCTAGCATTGTTTCAAAACTGTCACGGAAATACTCAATACTGTGTATAATGTGAGGTAATATTTTCTTGAAGAGTAGCTGAATAGAAATTAGATGAATTTCTATTAATATTCTTCGGAGTGGAATTTCTACACAGTGATCAGCAAAAGAACGTTTTCGAAATATCCACAATAAAAGTTAGCAAAACAACTTCACCTATTCAGATGTTGTACATATTTCCTTTTAAAAGTAGCATTTCTGTTTCAGCACAGGTATAATATGATTTCAGAATTAGTGGATCTTTTTTTCCATCTGCGTTGCCCCACTAAAGCCGATGTATCCTTAGGAACACTGGCTACCTTCTCGCAGACTCTCAGATAGAGATTCAAAATTAAAGATAGCAAGGCGAGAGTAGTGTAAGAACAAGCACTAATACTTCTATAATAGTGAATATCTAGCTTTACGTATAGATAAGAGAAGAGCTCCCAAAATATTACGTCACATTATATACAGCAGTACATACAGTCAATAAGCATGAAGATAATGTCAGGTCATGTAATGCGGCACCTAATACGTTCACTTTGGTATAAACAAATACTCACAAATCTCTTTAGTCGAGAAATAAAAATAAATTTAAAAAATTTACTAGCGGTGGGTTCAAGAATGTAAAGGCTCCATTGTGGCAAAAAATACAATTCGCGATTAGTAGTTGCCGAGTGCCAGATATTTCTGGTATAAGTGCAAAAGATACTTCTGTTCACTTCTGCTCACTTTACATCAATGATGAATCGGTTTCTAAATTAATTGGTTCTCAGACCCAATTTTGTTCTGTAAATAGTGTAGAGCTTTCAAATTGTATATTATAAAATATTTTCTCGGTAAACCATTAAACTGAAATTCTGATTCCCATCATCATTAACTGCAAAAATATTTTGGCGGCATTTGTGTACCCTACATTTAAATTATTGTGGTATAAAAACGTACGTTTGTGATTATGATGTCATAATATTGTGGTGTGTCTGAGGTGCCCAGGACCCTTAAAACCTACCGTTAACTCTGCATATAAATGTAACAGAGATAAGATTCTTCAGAACTTCAAAACGAGTTACTCTTTGCAGTGTGAGTATTGAAAAGGAAGGATGTCTGTCTGAAAAATGCTCATATGATTTTTATAAAATATTGTAAATAACTAATATTCTAATAACTAAATCAACTAAATTGTAGGCTAGCAAAAGTATTATAATACCAATACATATGTTACCCCTCTCCAGGTAACATAAAGAACCGGGATTTCATGCATTTCGCATAGGAGTGACGTTGATTTATGCAAGATTAAAGAGATCAATTTGTCGTCAAATCATTGGGTCACGAGTCAGTTCCACGAGGCAATTTCATTTATTACAGAACTTTAAACTCAATAATACATATATTTCCTCAGTTCATAACTATGTGAAACGTTTTTTTCCGAGGCAGGAGATTCATTCGGCAAAGAAAGGAAGAGATCACGGTCCTTCAGCAGTTCCTCTTCATAATCCAGCTCATAACGAACATTAATTGCTGACAAAATGAGACTAATGGCGCGAGAACACGCTCAACCATCGGAATAGCCAATATATCATTCGGAGGCGTACGTAAATAATTGTACTCCGCGCTGAAGTAATTATGCCCTCCTCTCAAGAGAGAGAATTAATTCCTTTCAAAAATGAAACGCGTTCTACACCACTGGAAGCACTCAGAGGCTCCGAGAGGGCAGTGATGGTCCGAGAGTCAAAAGAGAAACAGAAGATATTTTCGAAGAACCGGCGAGAGTCATGGATGGCACTACCTCGCAAATTTGAGAAGAAAGAATAATGGCAATAGAAAGTCGATATAAAGGTTTATAGAGATTGATAGCGTTCTTGAAAACCCTTAACATATGTAAAATGGGTAGAGCTGCATAGAATGAATATTGTACGTTTTGTAATGGTAGAGGTAGAAGGGTAGGAAGGGTAAAGGGGTAGAAATGTTCAAGTAACGTTCAGGTGTGAAAAAGCTGTCGGATAACGAAATAGTGTAAATAGAAACAGAAGTAAGAGGCGTCTCAGGAACGGAAACGTCGAGAAGAAGAGAGGATCATTCTCTGAAAATTGCCACAGAGCAACTGGCATTTGTAATTGTAGGGAAATTGAACTAAAGAAATTGAATATAAATAATGGTTGCCTCATCGTTCTTGGACCAACGATGATAGTTGCTGATCGTTACGGCGGTAGCTAGCCAGCGGAAAATGGGGACTGATTGGTGAGAGTGGATGGAATATACATTATGAATTGGTTCAGCAACATTGAGCTTAGCGTGATGGTTGGGAGCAAGCAGCTAATGGAGGTTGAAAATAAACCGCTGGAATGGCAGCCTGAAGCCGGAGAAAGGAGTAAGGACTAGAGGGAATGCAAATGGTGAAGGTGCGGCACAGTACAATCATGGCGTAATGGTGTGCAGTTCTGAGGTTCATTAATGGCCATTAGACCATTGGTATATAGTTATTGTGAGAAACCGTGTGAAGGAAGAAAACAACATGTAAACAAGATGTTGGATGAAAAACGAGAGGAAAGATGAGTTACAAGGCGACTAACAGACTCGCACGACATCGTTCAATGGTGATGACTTGCAGTGGTGTATTGCCAACCATCATATCTTCGTGATTTGTGCAGTGCGGGAGGAAGAGAGGCGTAAAGGAGGACGGAGATGTTGGAGAATATGGGAAAGACCCAAGGCAAGTGGTTGATGTCGCACAACACCACGTTGTGGGGCGGTCTATGGGTAGTCACGCGGGGTAGAAGGACGCTACCGGTCGTCCGGCGATAGGCTGCGGTCGGAGAGCGAGCGGCGGCCGGCATCTGGAGCTGGAGCGCCGGTTGGCAAGCCTGATCGATGCGGTGGCGCGGGAGCTGCGGGGAATCCCGGCCGCCGCCACCGGACGCTGCCATTTGTTACCTGTGGCGGCGGCGACCGCGACGCTTGCAGTGGGCGTTCCTGGAACCTAAGAGGGAGAGAGAGCGCGCCGGCAGAACAGGGCGCAAATTAGGGTTTTTAATCACCTTTATAAATTAACGTAATTTTACGGAATTCCTACTGGAATTTAATGAAGGATTAAGCAAATTTGTCTTCAGGGTTCCCAAAGGAAGAAATTGCGGACATATTAAAATTAAGTTTAGTACAGTTTATCAGGAAGTGACACATTTACAGATGGAACTTAAATTCTATAAGTGTCAAAAATGAATAATTAGTGGACTTATGACAAAATGCACGGATATAAAAATTAATTATTTTTAAGTATTATTTCCACAAATCCCCAAAAACAAATATGTAAATCTAAGTACCAGCCAATACGTTCGAAAAAATAGTTAACTGCTTTTTTTAATCTCCATTTCAACGAGTTAATAAAATGTAAATGAAGATCAATTTTACACACACAAATTGCGCGTTCCGATTTTTCCTTCGTCATATTTTATTACTATTTCAACAGATGGCGAGGCATTTTAAGATCATGAATTGTTACAAAATCTTAATTTTGAATATTATTTTTCTTTTATTGTACTATTAATTGATAATATTTTTAATCAGGTGAGAACTTTTGTCCTACTTTCGTAACTTTTTCCATCTGCAGGGAAGGAGAAACTGAGCGAACGCTACAAGCCTGATCCTAAGCTGTCCTTTATCATCAAGGCCATCTACACAATGGCGTACGGGTTGCACAGCATGCAGCAAGCTTTGTGCGGTCCCAACGTCACAGGTCTATGCTCTGCAATGTTTCCATTCAACGGAGCAGTTTTTAAGGTACGTTTGTGTTGTTGTGTGTTTGCATGTTGGTGGAAATTATTTTGTATATTTCTATGTTTATATATTTGTTTCTTTGTATGTTTGTTTGTAGTTAATAATTTGCTTCTTTTTCCCTCGAATTAAATCATACCGTTCTCTTTCGTATTAAATCATATTATCTCTCATATTGACGAATATTGAATCTCATGGTTCTCCTGTATCATCACTAAGTGGAAGGATGTAAAGTAATGTGTAATTTCGTTTTAAATTAAAAGCATTTGTGTAAGAATTACTCAAATATTTAATAGTTAATTTTCATAACTGTAAATAATATTTAGGGTAAAAACACAATCATTGTAGCTCTAGTGAAATATTCTTATAAACGATCAATGTCTAGACACATATGCCAGAAGTACTGCGTGTTTTATTCTTGTTTTGAATTTGTGAATATTTATTTCCATAAATATTTACTTTTTGCACTTACTACTTTCAATGCTCAGACAATACATGGTTCGTTATATAAATAAGATAATATATTTAGTTCGATTTGAGTTCAACTTCTGCATCAGAAAGTGATTTTATCATCTTGTTACTCCATTGACACCACATTCATTCATCAGCAGCACTTCTTATGCTTCAACCTAATTATTTACTCTCGTCATATATGTTTCCTGTTATAACTCTCTTTGATGGTTTTCCTCTTGTATATTCAAACCATATCTGGAAAATATATGAAAAAGCATTGCAGCACAAGTCCTATGGGGCCCTTTCATCTCCTGACCGATTTTGCCTTAGCAGTTCATTATTTTCAAAGTAGTCAGATATAACCTATTAGATTAGTCACCGTAACATACCTACAATACAGGAAGATGATAAAACCCCCAGGGAACTGTAATCTTCAACTTCAATAGCAGTTTTAAAATGAAAAAAATGAAAAGAAAAGAAATACACGTTGCCAGTAATTTACTTCGATAGGGAGAGAGCAGTTAACACTTCACGCTTCCTTATATAATGAAGTTTGAACATTGCCAACTGTATTGCAAGTATGAACACACTGTAACATTTAATCATGATAAGTTTAGCCAACCTAAACACCGTGAATATCAGCAAATATTTTCTAACTCGTCCCCATGACCTATGGTGTTCTGGTATCCCCTACTTAATTGAGTATAGAATGTTATATCTATGTTCACAAAATTTCACCGTAAATGAAGTAATCTTTAAATGAGAACCTTGAAATAAATATACATCATTTTACTGAAAAATTCTTAACTTTATTCGTGATGAAATGTATCCAGGTAGTTTTACTTCGTCAGCCCAAGCTTTTAGGTTATGCATTCAGCAACCCCTAAATGATAATTATATGGATGGGCTACAATGCAATCACTAATATCTGCCATTAATGCTCTAAGTGCACAATGACATTTGTACATTACTGGTGAGAAGTTGACCATAAGCTAGAAATGTCCAAACAAAATCATTAAAGAGGTAAATTTCTCAACATGGTCCACACATTCTCGCAGCCCGATACTAGTTCTTACTTATTCCTTTTATTAGTTATTCCTTACTTATTCCTTTTATTCTGCCCTTACACGCCATAATTCCACAGACTGATATTTTGAAACGTAAAAAAAGGCGTTTACACGAGTTGGAGGTTTAATTTATCTTGTAATTGCGAATGTGTCAGATCTTTTTTGAGAAAACAATTGTGAGAATCGTATTTTCCGTAAATAAGCTTCGAGCGCAATGTCTATTCAAACTTTTTTGATTTTATGTCATAACTTCACTACAGATCATTATTTACTTTCTAAACTGTAAATTGAAAATCTCGAACTCGCCTAAAATTAAAAGGATTCTACACCTGACAGAAGTAAGTGATGTTTTCTCGCTCTCTGGAAATCGGAATTCAAAACATTTTAATGTGACCAATAAATGAGGATTTAAAGTATCCCAGGAAACAATGTTCCCGTAATTCCCCGCAGTTCTGAGGGCTACGAAAAAACTCTAACGAAAACACATCGTTCCATTTAACACGTTTCTCTCCACAAGCTACGTGGAAACGCGCACCTTTGTGCTCCACGATCATATATCATTCGGTGCTTAACTCGCGGCCCCCGCGCAGCGCCAGGAAGACCGTTGCGGCCAAATTCTGAAGTACCCATTCCGTACATTGCTCCACGGATTCTTCTAGTAAAATATGTCTTCTCTACCTCACCGTTCATGTGGTAGTTCTGGTTTATTGTTTGCTCATATCTTATGAATTTTCTCAGCTCTTGGTTTGTTTGGATCTTATAAATATTTTTTCTTTGTGATTGAACCTTTTTTCGGCCAAAATATTTGAATTTAATAGAGCTTTTTTGTTACAAATGTTTTATTTTTGTTAGCAGTAAAAATTAGCTGTTCAACAATTTTTCATCAAATTCTATGTATTAAAATAATGCATCCCGAATATAACTTAACATAGAAAGTCTCGGAATAGTCCTTATTTCATTTATATAATTGTTCAAATATTTTACCCATTTGCTGAATTTAAACATTTTTACGTGTCCCCCGTATGTTACATACATTGTATGTTCTATGTTTTTGACGAAAAAATCTAATCAAATTAACGATAATGTTAAGAGAACATTATACAATTTTTCTTGTCACCTATGTACGTCAGGTATCAGATTAGAAATTGCAATATACTGAAGAACAGTTAAATTGCAAATTACACTTATTAGTTTGTGAAAATTATTTATGCAAGCAAAACACTATCTCTTATGCTCGTCAGAAGACAATACAATGTCAAAATGATGGTTTCAACTGACCAAAAGAAAAATCATATCTATGACAGAACGTATTTTACATCGGCAAAGCTTGTTGTTTCAAAGATTTGGAAGTTTCTCCTTCAAAATAAAATGTTAATGCTATGTAAATTAAAGAGAGCTCCCACTCATAAATCTTTTGCCCGTAGCACTCAAAGAGAGCTAGAAGTGACTTGGTCGCAGGGAATAGTGTGACATTCTTGCTTACGAAAATGTCTTAAAGAATATGCTCCTCAAAATGTAGTCTGACTAGATGTGACAATCTGACAATGGGCATTATTGTCCTCTGAAATATGCCCTTGTATTTTGGCTTGGTACTAAGCGTCGATTCCAAAATCTTACATGAAAACTCTGGTTCACTCTTTAAACTCCTTCATTGGAGTTGATTTTCTAGCAACGTGGTCGTGAATTAGTCCTTTGAAAATACTTTTTAAATTCATATTTCAGTAAATTAACTTTATTACAATGTATTGTTCCCGCCTCTCCATATTGCTATGTCTTAGATGGAATCGTGCAATTAATACCTATATCCATCCTAAAATGATATTTAATATTTTTTTTATTATCGCAAGTGTTTACTGGATGAGTGCATAAAATGGAATTACTTTCGATTTTTTTTTCTGAGAATGATGAATTTATAAGCATAATGATATTATACTTATTAGTAATTTTAGAAGTTACCCTTAATTGGGAAGTGTTAAATATTAAATCCCATATTTTTAAAATGTTAATATCGTATTTTTAAAGGATTTTTTCTTGAGACAGTTAAGAGTTTTGTGCCCCAGAATTTGAAGATTGTGCAGAGAAAACACTTCTTCAGTTTGCGTAATGTAGTGTATAACTTATTACACCTACTGTAGTATATAAACAATTTACATAATAGATGCGTAATTAAACCACTGCAATTAATCACAATTCCATCCAGCAAGTCCGGTTAGTGATACTCTTGAAAGAAATATCACCTAAGTGTCATCGATCTCTCTGAAATGTCTGTATTACATTTCTAATACTAGGGCTTGGTAATGGAAACCGAACATGCGTTAACTGTGCGTGCACAGTCGATATACAGTCGAAAATTGTCTGTCAGTGAGACAACATTCAGTCTATAATTTTCTCTTAAAAGTGTTAGGGAATCAATATTTTTCATAAAAACTTAATGAGACAATGAGAAATGAATGAAGAAATGAGTATCAATATTAAATAATTGGAAACACCAAGACCGGGCATTGCCATTAAAGGAAAGAAATTCGTAAATGATTCCCACAAATTTAATTACATTAGTGCGTGCTTAATTTATGAAATGGAATGTGGGAGAACGACACATTGAAGACAAAATAATTCAGTCAATAAATTATCTCGCTTGATGTTCGTGGAGTAATTGTAATTAACATTATGAGCGATTATTAAGAGGATGGAATTATTTGCTATTAACTACTTGATACATCGTACGCTTTCGATTGTTATTGGAAGTATTGATTTCAAATCGGATAATATTTAATTCATTCTGTCTTATGTAATGGTATCTTATACACCAAGTATCCTCAATGATTCAATATGCTCTTAAAAGCAATATTCTTCATCAAACTCCAATTAGCCGCGAGTGCTTTTGCGGAAGCAGGCAGGACACCATTGCAGCAGAAAGTAGCTTGGGAAGGACACATTTTTCTTGGTCATCACTTCAACTTTTTCATGGAACACATTGTCACAGACAGTAATCCCTTGGTATTAATTCTTGGTCATTTGAATGCATCCGTCTTTTCCCAGATGCACATGACATCTCCATCAATTGTAGTAAGTGAATACAGTTGCCTTAAAGATGCTGTTTCACAGAAACGTGCTAGTGTCATCATTTTATTTTTAGAGCCTTCTCACACTGTTGGCACATTGTCATCTGTGCTACGCTCTGTTCGAAGAAGTTCATTCTGGAACTCGGATGCTCTCTTTGTAATATATACGTCTGCAATATGTCAACTAAACATATCTCAATATCAATATTGTCTAGCAAAAAACGACATATGGAAGACAACGTTTGTTGCGTTGAACTCTACCACTAAGAAGATAACAACACGGATAGCTTTAAATATGCCTGCCAATTTGACAATTAAATCCTACGTCTGCCCTACACCAAGTTCTGACTTGCCTCTCGGTTCTCCCACGTCGTACTTCATACAGTTTATCATGAAGTACGTTCCGGAATTGAAGAAAGCATCGTGTGTTGGTTCCAAGAACGATCCTATGGGTGAGTTGCTACCGAACGGAACCTACACGAAATCCATTGGTGACGTAGTAAATGGGAATTTGGATTTGTATGGTATTGCAACATTTCCGAGACCGAAT